CATGGCCTCCCGTCTTCTTGTGTCTGGTCTCCCCCGGTCCCTCCCTCCCCTTCCTCAGGTCCCTGGCCCTGCCTGTGTCCCCTGTGTCGAGGGGCGCCAGCGTGCTGCCCCTCACTCCTCCCAGTTTCCTCCGACAGAGGCTCCGTTGCAGACGCTTCACATAGACGTGTGGGGCCCTGCCCGCGTCCGTGGACTCGGTCACGAGCGCTACTTCCTGTTGGTGGTTGACGACTACTCGCGTTACACCACAGTCTTCCCCTTGCGCAGCAAGGGTGATGTCACTGAGGTGCTGATCGACTGGATCCGCGCAGCTCGTCTCCAGCTCAGGCAGAGCTTTGGCTCGGACTTTCCTGTGTTGCGTCTGCACTCAGACAGAGGCGGAGAGTTCTCCTCTGGCCTTCTAAGTGCCTACTGTCGTGCGCGAGGCATCCGCCAGACCTTCACGCTTCCGGACTCACCGCAGCAAAATGGGATTGCAGAGCGCCGCATTGGCATGGTCATGGACGTCGCTCGTACGTCTATGATGCATGCGGCTGCCCCCCATTTTCTGTGGCCGTTTGCGGTCAGGTACGCGGCGCATTAGATCAACCTCCACCCCAGGGTCTCTAGGCCGGAGACCTCCCCAGCCCTGCTGTGGACGGGGAAGGTTGGCGATGCGTCGGCGTTCCGGGTCTGGGGATCTCGGGCGTTTGTCCGCGACTTGTCTGCGGACTAGCTGTCCCCTCGCGCTGCTCCCTGCGTCTTCCTGGGGTTCCCCCCCGACGCCCCTGGGTGGCAGTTCTACCACCCCACCTCTCGACGTGTTCTGTCCTCCCAGGATGTCACGTTCGACGAGTTGGTACCCTACTACCGCCTCTTCCCCTACCGCACTCCGTCCCTCCCCCCGCCCCCGCTCTTCTTGGTACCAGGTCCCCCCCCGGTCGACCCCCTCCCCCCTCAGGGTCCTGCCCCTTCAGGTGTGTCCCAGGTAGACGCGGTTGAGCCTGTCGAGGTCACTGGTGACTCTGGTGCTGCTGCGGGAGCTGAGCCTGGGGGTGCTGTGCCTGGGGGTGCTGAGCCTGGGGGTGCGGGGTCTGAGGGTGCTGAGTCTGGGGGTGCTGAGCCTGGGGGTGCTGAGCCTGGGGGTGCTACGCCTGGAGGTGCTTTGCTTGGGGGTGCTGAGCCTGGAGGTTCTTCGCCTGGAGGTTCTCCGGGTGCTTCGTCTCGCCGAGAGCCACTCTCCTCACATGAGCTGCGTGAGTGGTTTGCTCGGCGCTGGAGGCGTGCTGCTGGTACTGGAGGTTCTTTTGCTGCTGAGGGTGCTGCTGCCGCGGGTCCCTGAGGTGCTCGTACTGGAAGTACTGGGGCTACTGGGCCTGCGGGTTCGCCTGGAGCTGGTGCTGCTGAGGGTGTTGGCGCTGAGACTACCACTGGTGGTTCGACTGGCGGTGCTCCTGGTGCTGCTGGAGTTTCTGGGGCTACTGGAGGCGCTGCTGGGGGTTGTGGAGCTACTGGAGGTGCTGCTGGAGGTGCTGATGGAGCGGGTACTCCTGCTGGGGGTACTGGTGCTGTCCCTGCTGTTTCTGGTGTCGCCACGCGGCCCCGACCGTACTTCGTACCGCTCCTGCAGCAGGTTCTTGGTCTTCCACCTTCTCCTGGTCCTCCTCCTCCTCCCTTAGAGGGTCCACAGCCTGTCCGGTCACAGTCACAACTATAGCCTGCCTCCCCTTTGCCTGCTCCTTCTCCCTACGCTGGTCCGACTGGAGGTCTTACTGAGCGTCGTGCGCCTGCGTCACGTCCTGCGTCGCCTGTTCGTGCTGCGCGCACTTGTGGTCGCGGTTCGCGTCAGCGTCCTCCTCCTGTCCCTGGCACGCACCGGATGTCTCTCCGTCCGTCCACTGCTCCTCTGCGTGCCCCTTTGCCTTCTCCTCCTGCTTCCTCTCTTCCTGCTCTCGCCGACCCGGAGTCGGACTCTCTTCGTGCTGCCAGTCCTACTGTCACGCGTCTCCTTGCTACTGCCGTCACTGACCCTTCTTTCGAGTCTTCTGCTGCGTCCGCCCTTGTTACTGAGCTCGTCGACTTTGTTGCGCGCTGTCGTCTAGACTACGCTGCTAGTCTTGTCGCTGAGTCTGAGTCTGCCTGTCCTCCGTCCGTCGGGGGTGAGTGTGCCCTTGGCACGGACGTCCTAGAGGACAGGCAGGAGGAGTTCCAGTGTCTGGCCGCCGCTTCACCTCATCTCGCGTCTGTACTGCTCACCCCTGAGGGAGACCCGGATGCACTAGACATCCCGACTCCGCGCTCTTACGCGGAGGCGATAGAGGGTCTCTACTCCTCTCAGTGGCAGGCAGCTATGGATGCAGAGATGGCTTCCTGGAAGTCCACAGGCACCTACGTTGACGCTGTCCCCCCTCCTGGGGCGAACATCGTCAGTGGCATGTGGATTTTCAGGGTGAAGCGGCCGCCGGGTTCTCCGCCTGTCTTCAAGGCGCGTTACGTGGCTCGTGGCTTCAGTCAGCGGCAGGGAGTTGACTACTTTCAGACCTTCTCCCCCACCCCGGAGATGACCACTCTTCGGGTACTGCTGCACGTTGCTGCTCACCGCGACTACGAGCTGCACTCTCTCGACTTCAGCACTGCTTTCTTGCAGGGCAGCCTGCACGAGGAGATCTGGCTGCGTCGCCCACCTGGCTTCACTGGGTCTTTCCCTCCTGGTACCCAGTGGAGTCTCCGGCGTCCAGTCTACGGTCTCTGCCAGGCGCCGCGTGAGTGGCACGACACACTGAGGACTACGCTGGCGGCACTTGGGTTTGCTCCCTCCACTGCAGACGTGTCGCTGTTTCTGCGCACCGACACCTCTCTGCCGCCGTTCTACATCCTCGTGTACGTCGACGACTTGGTCTTTGCCACAGCTGACACTGTTGGACTCGCCTACGTGAAGTCCGAGCTGCAAAAGAGACACACGTGCACTGACCTAGGTGAACTGCGCAGCTACCTTGGCTTGCAGATCACCCGGGACAGAGCACGCCGCACCATTACCCTGACTCAGTCACACATGGTGCAGCAGGTCCTTCAGCGCTTCGGCTTCACGTACTCCTCGCCTTAGGCCACTCCTCTGCCTACTCGCCACTCGCTCTCAGCTCTGCCTTCGGATGAGTCCGTAGAGTCGAGTGGCCCGTATGCAGAGCTTGTTGGCTGCCTCATGTACCTGATGACCTGCACACGACCTGACCTTGCATACCCTCTGAGCATTCTTGCACGCTATGTTGCTCCTGGGAGACACCGACCAGAGCACATGGCTGCAGCGAAGAGGGTGTTGCGCTACTTGTGCAGTACGTCGGGCATGGGGCTAGTGCTTGGAGGGCGCAGTCCAGTGGTCCTCACTGGGCACGCAGACACTTCTTGGGCTGATGACTAGGCTACGCAGCGGTCATCACAGGGTTACACCTTCAGTCTTGGTTCCGGCTCTGTTTCGTGGCGGCCTACCCGCTCGTCTTCTGTTCTCGGCTCCAGTTGTGAGGCTGAGATCTACGCCGGGGCCATGGCTGCACAGGAGTTACGCTGGCTCACCTACCTGCTGACCGACCTTGGAGAGCCGCCTCGTTCTCCTCCAGTCCTGTACGTAGACAACAAGGCCATGCTGGCTTTGTGTCGAGAACAGCGACTGGAGCACAAGACAAAGCACAGTGCTCTCCGCTACTTTCTTGCTCGTGAGCTACAGCAGCGTGGACAGTTGCGACTTGCGTACGTGGCCTCTGAGGCCAACACTGCTGATGTCTTCACCAAGGCACTTGCGCCTTGTGATCATCAGCGCTGCTGCACGCAGCTGGGCCTTGTGCGTGTCTTGCCTCACTTGCTCACTTCTTGACCTTGCTTGTACTTTTACCTATATATACTCTTGCTCTTGCTTGCTTGCCTCTTGTATATCTCTATATATGATCTTGCATGTGAACTGGCCTTCTGGCCTTTGAACTTGTGCTCTGAATGTGTGGTGACTTTGTGATCCACCCTGAGCTTTGCTTTGCTTTGCTTGACTGGTCTTGTGACCCCTTGTTCTCCCCCACTTTGCCTATGGGGGTGTGTCAGAACATTATAGCTTATATATATTTGTGTAGGCTATAGTGGGGTATCCCATAGGGGGTACAACCCAATCAGGGTTTCCTATATGTACTCACTTCATTCATAGTTGATTCATTCTCGTTCACTTCTTCTCACTTCTCTCCTTCTGCGTTGCCATGCCTTGTGACGTTGTGGTTGTCTTGATTGTAGTTGAATTTGTCCTGGTTGCTCTCATACCATGTTGGGCTGAAAAACCCCTTAGGATCTTTGCAGGACTAAGTTCTTGGTAGGACTGATGTAATAGCGGAAGCTTTTAATGAAAGGTTGTGAACCACCTTGCGCTGGTATGTGAGGGCAAAGTAGATTGATTAAAACTAAGAGATACAAGCTTTTATAAGAGTACAAGGGAATATGAAGGGTTATGACTAATAACGGTTTTGCTGTTGCTGTTGCGGTTCGATACAGTGACGACTCGGGCAACTGCTCAATAGCGAGTCAGTTGTTTGTCCTTGCTGTCGCGCTGTACTTGTCAGGTCAAAGGTCGCTGATCTTTGACTTTCGCGTAACCTCCAGCAGTTGCTCAACCTCCGAGGGTCGACTTGCTGATTCTTCGATATGTTGTGCTTCGCTTCTGACTTGGTGTTTCGACACGACAGGGACGCTTAAGTCTATTGTTTCCAACAGAAATTACCACAGGAGAAACATAAGTGCCCAACCCAACCTCTCATAATTGTTCGGACCCATCTTAGGGCTTGGCCATTTGAATCATGTTGACTATTATCGCAATATGATACCATGGCAGCTCTGGTTGTAAAACATGAATTGAGCACAATCCTTTCCCATTCCAACCCATTCGCTAAAATACCCTACCAACTCTGTGTATGTAATGGGTTTCAATTGTCAACTTTCGAGACGCCTCGGAAGTTTGTGCATGTAAGGGTATTCATTTCAACGCGAGCGCTACATCACTCCTCGGGCCCGTCTTGGGCCTTGGCCAGCCGAATCATGTCGTCGATCCTGAGAATGGTGATGGCGGCTTCAGTGGCAAACTGCAGCAAGAGGAGACGAAGACAGAGTGGGCATTCAGTGAGAGGGGCAGAGGACACGGCGAATATGCAGAGGAGGGGGGGGGGGGGGGGGGGGTGGCGCAGGATTACTCAGCGAGAAATGGCACGCACTGTCGAGGGGAATGAACGGTAATTGGGAAGATGAGCCAAGTGATCGAGTTATGCAACACAAACACAACAGGCATGACCAAGTCCATGACACAGGGGAGGGGGGCCTTCCGCTCAGAAAAAGAAGATGAAAGAAGTGATGGCTTTTGATCATTTCAAGCTCAGGACCATAGACAGATAACCAACACGAGACCAGCATAAGACCAAAACCACGACGCAGGCAGAATTTCAGCTGCAGCATCTGAATTATGATCCTATCTGGCTCCACACGCCCGCCTCTGTGTTGCTCCTCAGTGCCTTGTTCACCAGGTAGGACCAAACCAGTTCAATACTAGCTTTGACCTTACCTGATCAATACCAGCAGGAACAAAGAACCAAGAAGGCCCCCTACCTGCAGGATCTTGGTTTTGCTCATTGCTGCCTCCAACACTCCCGCCTCCACGTTGTTCCTCTGTGTCCCCGCTTCACTTCACCAGACCAGATCCGGGACGTACCTAATGGACACCAGAGCAAAGCAACACAGTCCTCTCACCTGCAGGATCTTGGTTTTGCTCATGGCTGGCTCCAACACTCCCGCCTCCACGTTGTTCCTCAACACACCGTTCACCAGGTCCAAACCGTACCTGCCTCACAGGGAAGGGGAAGAAGGAGAAGGAGAAATATTAGACGTTTGACTAAATCTGAGATGTCTCAAACTTATTCCTCACCACCCCATTCACCAGGCCCAAATCAAACCTGTCTCACAGGACACAAGGGGGAGGGGAAATGACAAGAATGGCATGTGGCAAGACAGCGATGAATTGTGGTAAGACCAAAATGACTCGTGGTAAGCCAAATATGCCACACGGTAAGAGGCACTCGTGATGGTCAAAGTGACTGATATGTTCTTGCATGGTGAAAACGTGGTAAGCCGCACTCAAGTCGACTGGAAATCGTGGTAAGCCGCACTCAAGTCGACTGGAAAACGTGGTAAGCCGCACTCATTGGGATACAGAGTCTCTTGTGAATCTCGATTCAACTCAACCCCACCCCAAACTCACTCTGCCAAGTGCTGCTTGTCGCTTTTAGTCTGCGACATGTGGTGGTACGCCCTCAGCTTCGCCACCAGATCTGTGGCGTCCTTGGCAGCATTCACCGCAAGCACCTGATGGAGTGAGGGACAGCACGTAGAGAAGGGGTACAAGGTAAGAGGTAAATGGCAAGATTGAAGGTAACCCTCAGCTTCGCCACCAGATCTGTGGCATCCTTGGCAGCATTCACCGCCAGCACCTGCAGCAGCACGGGGAGCAGCAACGGGTGGAGAGGCATCGGGAGGAAAGGAGCTCGGGGTTAAAGCCCTGGAACATGTGGTGGAATGCCCTCAGCTTCGCCACCAGAGCTGTGGCATCTTTAGCATCTTTAGGCAGTGAACAGGGCACACCTTAGGCGCACGAGCGGGACACACGTACCTTGGGAATGACGAGCAGAGCCTCTGCAAACTCAGCAATAGCGAGCTGTTCCCGGGATCCAAGGGTCGTGGCCAGGTTCTCCAGGTGCACTGACAGGGCCGCTTCCACAGCGCCTCCCCCTGCTACCACGGAGTTGGACTCGAGTGTGCGCTTGACAATGCAGATGGCGTCGTGAAGGGAGCGATCCATCTCGTCCAGCATGTAGTCATTGGCTCCTCGCAGGAGCAGGGTTGCCTGTGGTATAGAGATGGGGAGTTGGATCAGTAGGAGTGGGAGTGTTGAGAATGCGGACGTCATCGTGCAGCAGTGAGCGATCCATCTCGTCCAGCATGTAGTCGTTGGCGCCGCGGACGAGGACAGTGGCCTGCAGTGTGGGAGAGGACAGGACACATAAGGGAGAGTGGGTTGGTGGTGCACTTTTGAGAATTCTCAAAAGTCACACGGATGTGTGGGAGAGGACACATAAGGGAGAGTGGGTCGGTGGTGCAGCATGTAGTCGTTGGCCCCTCAGACGAGGAGCGCTGCCGCCGGATAGAAGGGGAAGATCGGACGGGAGGGATGGAAGGGAAGGGAGATGAGAGGTTGGGGAGATGGGGGAGGTGGATGGTGGTGGTCCAGGCTTCACAGCGAGCGTGGCCAGTGGTATGGGATAGGCCACATAACGGCCAGCGTATGCCCCTGTGCCCATTCCTGGTGCACCCCCTCTGTCTGCCCCAGTGGGTGTGTGGCCTTCCCTGCCCTGCTCTACCCATTCACCCCTGTGGACCCCCATGTCTCGTTCTTTCCCTTCCCCATCCACCCACTCACTGCTTTGGCGGCCTTAAAGCCCTTGAAGATGAGAATGTTGTCATCTGCCACCCGCTCCTCGTACACCTCCTCTGCCTGTCCCAGCATGGACGCATCGAACGTCTCCCCGCCCTCCATGTCCGCGAATGTGAGCATCTGAGGTTGGTTGCGAGAAGAAACGAGAGGGCATATATCATGTGAGACAACACCCTTTCCTCGTACACCACCCCTCTTCTGCCTGCCCCAACATGGACCATCAAATGTCACCCACCCCTCCATCTCCACAAATGAGAGCATCTGAGGTTACCTCGTTTGGTACAACTGAAACGGTTTGACTAATGACGAACCAGCCTTTCTTTGCTAAGTTCAGTTCATGCAATGAAGCTCCACAAAATTTTCCCAAGTAGCGTCGAATCTAAAAAGGTCAACGCCTTCTTTTATTCGTCTCGAACCACAGCAGGTTCGACCAGACCCCCCTCCCCCTCCTGAACGATTTCCTGGTCGATGTAAGAAGAAGCACTCCTTCCTTCCTACCATCAGCCTCCCAGCAGCAAGACAACCACCCCCACCCACACCAAGCCCATTCACATCCCCCCTCGCCCCCCTCGCCTCACCATGGTAGCGCACCAGATACCTTGGCGATGTGCTTCAGGTCATTGCAGGGTTTTTTTGAGAAGTCTCAAAAAAACCCTGCAGCACCAGATACCTCGGCGATGTGCTTCAGGTCGTCCTCTGCCTGCCACCCTCCTTCATACCGCCCACCTTCTAGTCAGGGTATCAACCCCACCCATACCAGCTCACTTGCACACACCACTCACACGCACCCGTGGCTGGCCCATTCCCATCTCGCCCCCCGCGCCTCACCATGGTGGCCCCAGACGCCTTGGCGATGTGCCTCAGATCATCACACACCTAATAGCCCATCCTCACACCTCCCTTTGTCTCACCATGGTAGCACCAGACGCCTTGGCAATGTGCCTCAGGTCGTCCTCCTTCACCCTCCTTACCACCGCCTGCCTCGTAACAGTCAGGATACCATCCCCACACCAAGCGCACACACACGCCCCTCTCGCCTGCCCCTAATAGCCCATCCTCACACGTCCCCGCGCCTCACCATGGTGGCACCAGACGCCTTGGCGATGTGCCTCAGGTCGTCCTTCTTGACTCGCCGCACTGCAATGGCGCCTGCCTCCACGAAATACTGGTGGATGGGAGAGGGAAGGACAGGGGGGTTAGGGAAACGAGTGACTCAAAAGAGGGGAAAGACAGGCAGGATGTGCTTCAAATCGTCCTTCACCCGTCGCACTGCAATGGCCCCTGTTTCCACGAAATACTGGTGGATGTGGGGACGAGGGAAGGAAGGGAACGACAGGCAGGGCAGGAGGTGGGGGGGGGGGGACACGAAGGGGGAGACAGGCGGGATGCCGCAGGTCGTCCTTCTTGACCCGCCGCACTGCAATGGCGCCTGCCTCCACGAAATACTGGTGGAGGAGGGACGGGAAGGGAGGGAAGGATAGGGTGGGCGGGAGTGAGGCAGAGGGGAGGGGTGGGGTGTGCCTCAGTTCGTCCTTCTTGACTCACCGCACTGCAATGGCGCCTGCCTCCACGAAATACTGGAAGATAGGGAGTGAGGGAAGGGAACGACAAGGGAGGATGGGATGTGAGGCGTAGGGGGTGCGGGGGAAACAGGCAAACGGGACAGGCAAGATGTGCCTCAGATCTTCAAGGCGATTGCACACAGGACAAAGGTTCACCATGACAGCTCACCTTAAGCGACAAGTCATCACAACACAACGGCTCACCAGCTCACCTTAAGCGTCACGTCATCACGACAGCTCACCTTGAGTGACATGTCATCACGACAGCTCACCTTGAGTGACATGTCATCACGACAGCTCACCTTGAGCGACATGTCATCACGACAGCTCACCTTGAGCGACATGTCATCACGACAGCTCACCTTGAGCGACATGTCATCACGACAGCTCACCTTGAGCGACATGTCATCAATGCCCTTGGTGGTGAGAATGACATTCGCACCCGCCTTGAGCATCTTTTGGATTCGCTCCTTCGTAATGTCCGACTCCCTGCCACGAGAGCAAGCACAGCACAACACCGATTAGAGAAGAGCAGAACACAACGATTGTAACCAACAGCACACATGGCCCCCTTTGAGCATCTTCTGTATTCGCTCCTTTGCAATGTCCGACTATTTTTGAGGCGCCTCAGAAATCGTCTCAGTTTTGAGGTGCCTCAAAAAAATTTGAGGCGCCTCAAAAACCAACAGCACACATGGCCCCCTTTGAGCATCTTCTGTATGCGCTCCTTTGCAATGTCCGACTCCCTGCCATGAGGAACAGAGCAACATGGAGCAGAACATTGTATGGCAGAACACACCGGTTGTAACCACCAGCACCACGTTGCTCCATGGAGCCAGCACCACGGAGTTCGGTGTGTTCTGCCTCCATGGAGCCTACAATATTGTACGGCAGAACACACCGGTTGTAACCACCAGCACCACGTGTGGCCCACCTTAAGCATCTTCTCTATGCGAGCGGGCCCCACACACCCCTCCCTTGCCCTCCCAGCCTTGCTTCTTTACACACCTTTCCCGAATCTTGTCGAGCTCTTTCGGATCAATCACCAGCACCTGCACGCCCATCTGCATGCGGGTGCGCTGGAGGTTGAAGTTCAGGCACGCGATGCGGGCGGGCCCCACATAGTAGGGCATGCCCTTCCTCCCACCCCACTTCCACTCACTCACATCCACACAAAGCAAAAACCCAACTACTCGATCATGATGTGCTCTCACCACTCTCTAATTTTGTCCAACTCTTTCGGATCAGTCACCAGCACCTGCACGCCCATCTGCATGCAAGTGCGCTGCAGGTTGAAGTCCAGGCACGCAATGCAAGCAGACCCTTCCATGTACCCCGCCCTTTCCCTCCACCAAACCTTGCTTCTTTACACACCTTTCCCGAATCTTGTCCAGCTCCTTCGGATCAGTCACCAGCACCTGCACGCCCATCTGCATGCGAGTGCGCTGCAGATTGAAGTCCAGGCACGCGATGCGGGCGGGCCCCACGCGGCGGGGCATGCCCTGGGCGGCACGTGTGGTGTTGAGCGCATAGCCGTTGATCAATGCGCTGTCCCTCGCACTCTTACCATGCGCCTTGAGAATGTTGATTGCCTGAGGTGATGGAGAAGGGGCGCGGGGCGCACGCGAGCGGAGAAGCAGCAGAAGACGAAGGGCAAAAGAGGAGCAGGTGGGCAAAAGGGAAGACGGTTGCGTGTGGAGGCAAGAGGGCTGGACGTGCGGGCAGGCCCCACGCGGCGGGGCATGCCCTGGGCGGCACGCGTGGTGTTGAGCGCATAGCCTTTGATCAGCGCACTGTCTCTGGCGCTCTTTCCATGTGCTTTAAGAATGTTGATGGCCTGAGATGGAGGAGGAAGGTGTGGGTCGCACAAGAGAGAGGCAAGGGAACGAGAACAGGCAGCAGAAGAGGGGCAGAGAGGAGCAGGTGGGCAAAAGGGATGAGGAGGGTGGAGGCAAGAGAGCAGGGCGTGCGGGTGGGCCCCGCGTGGCGGGGCATGCCCTGGGCGGCGCGGCGCGTGGTGTTGAGCGCATAGACGTTGATCAGTGCACTGTCCCTCGCACTCTTGCCGTGCGCCTTGAGAATGTTGATGGCCTGGGAGGGAGGAGGGGTTGCGGGATGCACAAGTGAGACGCGAGGCAACAGGGAGGAAGCAGCATAAGGGGGGCCGGAGGGGCTGACGGGATGAGGGAAGAGAGACACAAAACAAGATAGCAGAAGCCCTGGAGGGGGTGTGCCCTGGGCAGCATACATTGATCTGGGCAGCACACATGGTGGTGTTGATTGAGCGTGTGGGCATTTATCAGCGAGCATTGAAACAGATGTGATGATCAGATACCTCAATAGGATATCTGGCTTGGCCCTTCTCGTTCATGGTCTTCACTGCTTGCACGGTGTACAAGTGTATCCGCAGAGACTTGCTGCCACATATGGCGACAGCTCCAACTGATGCTCGAACTCGATCACATGTCAGATTGCCATACGCACCTTAATGGGGTATCTGACTTCGCCCTTCTCGTTCGTGGTCTTCACTGCTTGTACTGCGTCCACAACCTGTGAGGGGCGAGGAGAGAAGCGAACAATCAGAGAGGGGGATCGAGAAGAAGAACAAAGAAAAAAGGAAATCCTTACTAATTTGTGGAACCCCACCACCATTTCAAACTCAACACATGCACATACTCAATACACACACACTTTTGATAGACACACACTCGCTACAAGCACAGACTCGATACAAGCAGCAGCACCCACCATCTTGCCAAAGAACTCGCTGTCCATGTCGACAATCTTAGAGGCCATGCTCGTCTTGGCCGCGTTCAGCAGCGTTGACTTGCCCAGCTTCTCCACCTGCTCTTGTGCGCAGGGGAGCAGCACCAGAAGACAGCAAGAGGAAGGAGGGGGGACAGGGAGGGGAGAGGCCATCAGTGAGCCCGACCGGAGGTTGATGTGGCGCTGACAATCTTGGAGGCCATGCTCGTCTTGGCCGCATTCAGCAGCATCGCCCCACATAGCTTCTCCCCTTGCTCTTGTGAACAGGGGAGCAGTGCAGGGCGGGATTGCATGCACACAGCAGCAAATGCAAAATGCAAGAAAAGGGAGCGAGAGCAGGAGAGAAGGAATGAGGAGGGGGATTGTAGGGGACAGGCAAAAAAGAGACAACACATCATTGAAAAAACCCCAAACCCCTTACCATAACTGAAGTCTACCTCACACACCTTGACTGCCAGCTTGCCATCCACTCAACGGATACGCAACCACACAGGAAAAACCTCTAGTTCTGGAAACCCCTATTCCATGACTAGAGGTCACAACACAACACTCACCTTGACTGCCAGCTTGCCGTCCACGTACTTGCACGCCTCCCTCATCGCCAGCTGTAATGACCCACCAGAGATGGTTGAGGGGTGAGGAAAAAGAAAAACGATCCAGGAAACGAGAGAGGGAGAGGAGGTAAACTGGATGAAATGGCGGCTGAAGACCATCTGGGTTCTGGGTCTGGGAAGGTATGGTCGTGATTTCAGTGTCAGAAAGGCTACAGTCTGGGTTTGGGTTTGGGAAGCTATCACCTTGGGTTCTGAATTTGAAAAGCTATTATATTCGGATTCTGGGTTTGGGAAGCTGTCATATCGGGTTATAGGGTTTGGGAAAACAAGTTTTGAATTCAGAATTTGGGGGATAGGGTTCTGGGTTTGCCGGGCTATGGCTTGAAGTTTATATTTTCGGAGCCAGTCATGGGTTTCTGGGTTATGAGGCCATGGTTTTAGGTTAAACCACAGGGGAATGGGGGGGTTGGGGTAAGGGGCACACTCACTCGATACCCGCTGATGATGGACGTTGGGTGAATGCGGTTGCGCACGAGATCGTCTGCCCTCTGCTCACACGCACAACACACAAACGAGTAAAGACGAGGAGTGCAAAGGGATGAGTGCTGTACAAAGCGCCTCAAAAATCTTCGCACCATGCATGCACAAGAGGTCGTCCGTGCTCAGCGCAGCGTGAGAGGAGGGGGGGGGACGAAATGGACAATGGAACCTAAGAAGTCAAGGACACACAAGGAGATAGGCAGAAAGGCAGACAGGCAGACAGGCAGACAGGCGCACACGTATGGAGGCCCCCTACCTCACCTCCCTGTTCACTCACACAAAGCGGCCTTGAAGCAAACTCTAAGGCACTACCAGAACTTCACGCAGCGCACACAGAGAGAGGCGCCATCCCCCACCTTGAGAAGCTCAGCAGCAATGATGACGACTGACGTGGTGCCATCCCCCACCTCCCTGTCCTGCAGCTCTGCCAGATCCACCAGCACCTGGAGACACACACGGCAGGCAAGGGGAGGGTGGGGTGAGGGGGGATGGGAGGAAGCGGGGGGGGGTTGGGGGTGTTGCTTTCAAGGCACCTCAAAGGACCTCTCCCAAGTGGTCATAGGGTGCTCCAGCTATGGTATTTCTGAGAAATTTCGACGAGATTCCAGAGGGTTTCCAAGCGCAACAGCAATTAGAAGCACGCTACCTTGCCTGTGGCATTATACAAAACACTCCCGTGACAGCAGAGCCCTTCACTTACACCTGCTACAGAATGGTGACCATTTGAGTCCTAAAAAAAATAGCACTACACAGAGCAATCCCTTGCGCCCGGCGTTGCTTGAAACAATGCCTTGGCAGCAGGATGCTCCACCTCCAGCTGCTTCAGAACGGTGAGAAAGCACTAAGCATGATATTCCTTGGCTGCAGCGATGTACAGAACACTACCTTACCTGCTGCACTGCACTACTTAGAGCACTACCTTGGCAGCGGGATGCTCCACCTCCAGCTGCTTCAAGATGGTGGCGCCGTCGTTGGTGATGGTGATATCACCAATGTCGTCCACTAGCATCTGCCAGGCAGGAGATGCAGGGACGCAGGGGACGCCGGGGACGCCGGGGACGCAGGGGACGCAGGGGGAACCGATTGGGAACTGATGAGTGGTGAACAGAGGATACATACGGTTGATGTTAGTGATGGTGATATCACCAATGTCATCCACTAGCATTTGGCAGGAAAGGAGATGCAGAGAGGACCGATTGGGAGCCGAAGATTTGAAAAGCGGACAAGACGAGACAGGATTGACAGGGTTTTTGTGACGGGAAATGACGACGGGAAGGACGGTGAGAGGAGGATGTTGAGAGGAGAACGTTGAAGACAGCGGTTCAACAACCAGTTCAGCAAAGGTTGTCCCGCGAGTGAGCTGTGCACTGAAGCTGCCAACGACAAGGACCGGCCAAATCGTAAACCAGCAGCTGACAGTAAGAACGAACCGCCTGGTGTGGCCATCATAAGGCATAACAAGGCATTTGCTGTGAAAAGGAAAACGCGTCCTCAGTGCGAAAACCAGACACACAGGAGGAACGTGTAATGTCCATGAGAGATTCGTGATACGTGCGGAATCTCACCTTATCCAATCCCACGGGGCCCAGCGAGCTCTTGACGATGTTGGCTATGGCCATGCACGCCGTGACTGGAGATCGCGAATGGAAGCATTCAGAGGAGGGAGAATGAGGGGGAAACAGCATGGAGGGAGAGAGAGGTTAAGGCCGGTGCTGAGGAATTGTTATTAACTGACACGTTTCTTGATAGTGTTGACAATGGTCATGGAGAATGGCCATGCACGTGTGGAAACAATGGACATTGGACAATGACTAGAGATCGCAAATTGAGTTCTTTCTTACATGTGAATTGAGATAACGAAGGAAGGATCGATCAGCGACCACTACCACCCACCAAACCCTTCCAATTCGGGACTGATTATCAAGCCGGCACGTATAAGGTCGACCCGAAATACTGCGTTGCTGTACCCCTAGCCCTGAACCCTCGACCACGACTCTCAACCACGACGTATTGCAGAGGCTGAACGAAGTGTGCGAAAAGCAGCGCGAAAAGAAGTCGACCCATGTTGAGACGACGGTAAAGTCGTGCACGTGCTAAAGGGACACCGAACCAAGCGAGAATTCCATTTCACTGAGATCCACGAGCCGGGTTACGGACTACTATCCTTCCGTGTGTTGTATAGCTTTCGAAGATTATTACAAGATCTGTAAACACACGCATAAAAGTTCTGAGCATCGTAGAACTAGACCCGTACCATTTTGTGTTCGTACGTCTTGACCCGTGATGCGCTCGCCGGCAATCTCTAGCCCGTTTGTCGCCATGTGCGCTCGCTGCTGCCTGATTTAGAGAAAACACGGATCTAGATCCACAGAAAAGAATCGCGGAAGGAATAAACACGGAGAAAAACGAACGACGATAAACTCAGTATAGTGCACTATTAGTACGTGACCATATTACCACAGCACCTGTACAACAACGATGGCGGGTAAAAGAATCCCGCGTGCTCGCAAAAGTGACCTACGCGGGAAAGTATCTTGAGATTGAAACAGATACGATCCAATCCGGACAGATCGCGAAAAGGAGATATAAGCGACCAACCTATATTCAACGATCAATCCGTTGGACAGCAGGATCCTGGACGGAACGCGCTTGAAAGTGCGTCGCGAAATCAATCCAGGAATTGATGGACATCCAGAGCTGTGATCAGACAAGCACGTTTGGTACTGGAAGCGTGCGAATCTGAGATAAAGTGAGAGCAAGGACAAGACGAGCAGAACTCACTTCCCGTTCAGGAGGAAGCCAGAATGATACTTCCTGAGAGAGGTGGTGTTCAAACGCTCGTTTCACCAATACCCTACTCAGCCGTGCTAGATGGTGATTCACCGCTCCAGAACGCAGAATACCGGATGTTGGGGTCACACTTCCGAGATTTGAGATGCAAATGAAAATGGTGTGTGGAAGTGGAAGACAACCTGCAAACGAATCTCATCATGGTATGTCCCCTAAAGCTCACTCAACATCGAGGTTGTCATTAGCGCAGCAGCTGATTGGAAATGGGTACACTTTCAGCCACTACAACTCATTGTTGAATTTGGCATGTGAAAATGATTACCCTAATACTCTCGAAGGTTACCTCAATGGCTTAAGACCCAGGGTCTATTTTGTATTAGATCAATTTATTTACCAATATTATCACCTAACATTCAGTTCTTGAGGGAAAAACTCATGGAGAATCAGTAAACAAAGCATGGAGGTTACGTTCTTGGTGGTTGCATGCCTCTCCTTGCTTGTTGAACATTTTTTGTTCCATCCTCCTGCCGTCCACGCAACCTATTCTTTTCCCCTGTATCCCCTCTTGGTACCACTCCCACGTTGCGCCTCAAATCCGCTTTCTGCCCGTTCACCATCCCCGACCCACCCACCCCCACCCCTCTCTTCCGCACGGCCCCCTCCTTGCTCATCTCCTCGGAACTCGGCGGTAACGTAACATTCGTCACGCGAGCAATCTGCCCGATCAACCCAGCCCGAGCCTCGTGACTGGTGTCATTCTTCACCCAGTCATACGTGGGAATGCGGTAGTTGCTCTGCTCGGGCTGCCAATCCGTGGGGTACGTGGCCCAGGAGAGGTCCTCCATGTGCTTGTGCCACACCCACACCGCTCTGCACCCATCTGCCAACACCTCGAATTCATCCTCGTGTGTCACCAGCTGCTCTAGGAAGTCCGTCTCCAGGAACCTGCCAGGGAAAGGAGCCACAAGGAAGAGGAGTTGTTGGATGGCTTAGCATGCATGCATGTTGAGTCACAGTGGCATGCTGCCATTGCTGCCATTGGCAGCAATGGCCGAAAGAAGGCAAGGTCCCAGCACAATGACCTGCCATGTCAACCCCATGTCAAGACTCCCTACCCGCGTTTTGAAGGCCGGAAGCGAATTGGCTGCTTCTTCCCTTGGACTGTGCCGTTGCGGAGAGCCTCCGTGCTGCATAGCACACACACCACAAGGCACACCACAGGGCACACAGGGAACAGTGTTGGGACACCTACATAAAATTGAAACATGCTCTTCAGAGCTGCGTTTCAACTGGAGCGAACGAGTGACTTCGAGACTCGGTGCCACACACACAGCACAGGGCGCGCGCGCAGAGGGGAGGTTCGGTTCCTAACTGAGAGCGGAACACGCCTTTGCTCACCTGAACGCGAATCCAGCCATGCCCATGATGTACCACCGCGCCTCGGGGTCCCTCTGGTCTTTCAGTCACAAGAATGCCCTCTGCATGCAACGTCTGATGCACAATCTCTGATCCACAGCCATACCTGAAAGCAAACCCAGCCATGTCCGTGATGTATCGCCATACCTGAAAGCAAACCCAGCCATGTCCGTGATGTATCGCCGTGCCTCAGGGTCCCTCTGCAGGGGGACGCGCCGGCCATATGCCTCCCACCCCACGACTCGCGCCCGTGCCACCTGCTCCATCTCCCCGCCCGCATAGCCACCGCCACCGCCACCGCCACCGCCACCGCCACCGCCACCGCCACTGCCACCGCCACTGGCACTGCTTCCAGTGCTGGCGCTGCTGGCCTCCACAGAAGAGTCACCTTCCGTGTCATCCCCCTCCACAAGCACCTGCACAATGGGGCGGCCAGCATATGAGCTGTCCTTGCCACCAGCGTTGTCGCCACCACTGCCTTCCACAGCAGCACCCCTCTCCCTCTCACCGCCCTCCCTCTTGCCCTCCCTGTCACCCCCCTCAACAGCCACGCGCACAATGGGGCGGCCAACGTAGGAGCGCATGGGGCTGTCTTTCCCGAACAGGAACCCCACCGGCAGCAGCCCGATGCGCCGGATCTTCCGCAGCTCCTCAAACAGCTGCAGCGCGTACGAGTTGTCGTCGTCCATGAAGTATACGATTCCTTCGAGATTCTCCTTTTCTATGTACTCGAGAGCAACGTTCCGCTGCCCCACGCCTCGGAACCATCGTTGGTCCTCGTCCTGCAAAGGGCGGGCGGGGATGGGGGAGGGAGTGGAGGAGAGCGGGCGAAGCAGTGAGGAGACGGGCAGGGGAGGAAGGATCTTCCGTAGCTCTTCGAACAGCTGCAGCGCGTACGAGTTGTCATCGTCCATGAAATTCACGATTCCCTCGAGATTCTCCTTTTCGATGTACTCCAGAGCTAGGTTGCACTGGCCGACACCTCGAAACCACCTCTGGTCCTCGTTTTGCAAAGGGAGGGTTAGGATGGGGGAGGGTGTGGTGGAGAGCGGGCAAAAGAGTGAGGAGAGGGGCAGGGAAGGAAGGCTCTTCCGCAACACTTAACACCAGGTAACCGTTGAAAACCACTCATCACCACCACGATATTTTTTTCTCATTCTTCTTCCTTCTTATCTTCCCGTCCCCTGAATTTGAAATTCCCAAACCCCCAAACTGACCTTCCCGGTGGCTATATGAACGTTCTCCAGCTTCTGACACCCACCTGCCTCCGCTGCTGGGCATCACCCAACACCCAGAACATCAGCCTAATCCCTGCCCTCCAACTTACATTTTCAGTGGCTATATGAACGTATTCCAGCTTCCGACACCCGCCTGCCTCCACCGCTGCACAGTACCCTGCGGTACGCTCTAGCAGCATGGCCGTCTCGTCCGTCTGCACGCACACGAGCAGAGCAGAGAAGTAAGTGAAGTTATCTGGCTATAGATGGGCAGGAGGAACATTCCTGTCGCTGCACAGTACCCTGTGGTCCGCTCTAGCAGCATGGCCGTCTCGTCCGCCTGCAGGCAAGCGAGCAGAGCAGCATGCGAAGTTAACAGGGATTCGATATCCGCCCCAAACACCAAGCTTTTTCAAGTCTTCGGAGCCGCCTCATAGACCGCTTCCACATCCCGCAAGAGTAACGTACCTTATTCCCGCTATCCACGACGATTCACGTGTGCAGAAGGGGGGGAGAGGGCGAGTGAAGGAGGGGGGGGAATCGGGCTGGCAAGTTTGAGGCGCTACTAGCGTACCTTATTCCCGCTCTCCACGACGATCCACGCGTGCGGGAATGGGGGAGGGGGGGGGGAATGGGCGTCCGAGCGAAGGAGGGGGAGGAAAGGAGCTGGAAAGTTTGAGAGGCTTCCTAACTCTTTTTAATTCTAGGCGCCTCTAAACCCGCACACGCATGCCGCACCACGCACCTTATTCCCGCTCTCCACGACGATCCACGTGTGCGGCGGCGGTACGAGGCGCAGCGTGTGAGTGAGCTCCGTGAGGTACGCCGCCTGGAACGCGCGCGCGTACGTCGGCGTCACCAGGATGAGCCGGGCCGGAGGGGCAGGCGCCACCGCTGGCGCATCAGTCCGTGCCGGCAAGAGCGTTGGCACCTGCAGGAAGGAAGGCGGGGGAACGCAGACTGTGAGCCCGCCGGCGAGTTTTGAGGCGCCTTAAAGGTCAACCCTTTCGTGTAAGCCCGCCCGCTGGCGTTACACAAGGGGTTACGCGGTGAGGCGGAACGCGTTACGCACTGGCAGTCATTCATCGTACCAGGAGCCAGATGGATGCGCAGGAGAAGAGCGCGAGCAGCCCTATCCAGTGCACCAGCTGCGACGACTTCATGCAATTCCCCGCAGTCGGCAGCACCGGAACCTAGCAGGTGTAAGATGAGTCGACTCAAAGCAAACCTGGATGTCGTCATACAGGCAATCGCCGTACCAGTAGCCAGATGGAGGCTCATGCCACGTACCAGGAGCCAGATAGACGCGCAGGAGAAGAGAGCGAGCAGCCCTATCCAGTGCACTAGCTGCGACGACTTCATGCGACTACCCGCTGTCGGCACCACCGGAAGCTCCCTGTATCCCGGCGGCAGGTACGGCAGCACGAAGCGCGACACTCTCCATTGACCGGAGGACGCGGCGTCAGTCGATTCTTTCTCCTTTCCAAACATCACGTCTCTATTCTCCTTTCCGCTCGGACCAGAGGGCGGCTTTCGCGGCCGTTTCGAATGGCTTCCTGGAGCGTCATCGTTTTCAAACGCCGTTTCGACGCCACCACTACCAGTAATTTGAGACGTATCAAAATTCAAATGAGTTCTTGTAACGCCGCTTCGTTTGTCGACGTGTTCATCGCAGTTGGGGAAGTCAGGAAATTCAGAGCAGTCGGGAGATTCAGAGCAATCGGGAAAGCCGGAAGTTGCCTTTTCCATGTCATTGCCAGCACCACCGGCGAAGTCGTCGGATCGCCGCGTAATCGATGGACGATGCGATGTCCAGTCGACCGGCGATGCCGCCATGTTTCGATGCTGTGTTATGTCCTGCAGTGGACTCATGCTATATGCTAGTTCTCTCCACCAAGAGAGAAGCTACTGATTTGTATTAGTGCCTGAGGGTCTGAATGACCAGCGGCGACTAGGTAAATGAATCTACTGGAAAGCTCAAGACACCACGACTATACGTATGGTAGTGAGAAACTCAGTCACTTCTCCCTCTCGCTTTACCGCAAAAGGCTCTAGGCTTAGGTCTGACGATGCACCTTTCTTGACTCTAGATTTGTTGCTAACAACGTGCGGCGCGCGAGACCTCTATTGCAATCAAGACGTGCGGCGGCATATGTGATTATGCGTCAGAGCAAGCAGCAGATCGAAGCTGGCACCGACTGCGCCACTTCCTTCCTACTGATATAGCTGTTGACTATCGCTGTGCGAAATGACTTTTGGCTGGAAAGCCACGAAGCGTGTGAGGCCTCTATTGCAATCCTTGAGCATCTGTGAATGATCTTTGCTTCAAAGCAAGCAGCAAATCGGAGCCGGCACCGACTGCGCCACTTCCTTTCTACTGATTAGCTGTTGACAGCTAGTGACTATTGCTGTGCGAAATGAACTTTGGCTGGAAAGCTACTTCATGAAGTGTGTGAACGCAATTGCAGCCAGTATCCTCGAGAAAGGGTTCGTATCTCGAGTCGGGTCAGAAAATGCAGATTCCACATTTGTGAAGCCAGCGAACACTAAAGAGAGGAAGAGGATCAGCTGCACCGCCTGTGATAAGTCGCTAGATGCGTCGCACGTACATTATCCGATCAAAAGCGACAGTTGTAGCGAGTCAGGTTCGTTGAACGACTTGTACCTACGCAGAATCCGTCCCTGGAGCCGAAGGGAGTCGCGTGGCGTTGAGGCGGGTTGAAAGTCCAGAAGGAGTCGGTTGCAAGGCGGCAACCAGCACCTATCACTGGCAGACGCCATGGGAGCCCTCCTATCCTCGGTTCCTCCATTCATTTCTTGCGATAGACGACCCATTCTTGTTTTCCGTCAACTACTGTCGATCAGAGACGTTGTGGCCTGCAGCAAGCGTGTCAGAGCCAGCTTCAAGAAAGGGAGAATGGTAAGCGCAGCCGCCCCAGCATGTGGGATGGGTGCGAGCGAGGAGAAACGGATGGGAGCAACGGTGTCAGAAAAAGGAATGGCAGAGCAGCAAGCTCTGCTCAGATCGAGTCGCGATCAACTCAGGTGGGCGCGTGCGTAGGGTCGAATCGACCTGTCACAGCGTGTGGTGGGGTGGGTGGATGGTGGACCCCCCAGTTCGTTGAACACAGGAAAGCCAGGTCTACTTATCGCGTTTCAACATGATGCATCACAGAAAATTGAGACGATGTGCATTTTCATGAGCCGGGGCAAACCGAACATGTTCGCGTTCGCCCCAGCTCGAACACCGCCGTTCGGCAAACCAAACAGTGCTCGGTTCGCCGAACACCTTTTACAAAAAAGGGTGTTCGATGTTCCCCTCTGAGGGCGAACGTCTAGCATGCTAAGGCGAACACGAACGTGTTCGAGGCAAACACGAACTTGTTCGCCCATGGGCATCCTTTGTTATGCTGTAAATGCGCAACGGCGGGCAGGGGAATTGCGAGAAACTGGGGGAAAATATCTAGGCTGGATCAGCATTTTGCGAGATCTAATTACGTATCCATAGTTTTATTTATCCAGCTCGCCACCTGGATTTCCCCCACGTAAGGTGAAATGTTCTCCCCTTTCTATATCTACAAAAGCTGCAATTTCTCGCCAACCCCCCACAGCCCTCCAACTCACGAAATATGCGAATGTTATTCCTCTCAATCCCATGCATACTAAATTTGCGAATGCTACCCCCAACCCTCAACTTACGAGATTCTGCGACATCCCTATCTAATCTTTTCCCGAAAACCTAAATCTCGCATACCCAAGTCTATACAGACTAACCTATTGTAACTGCTTAATTACGCTAAATCCTAATAAGGTGATAACGGCGAGATGTGTGGGGGGCGTGGTAGTATTGGCTGCTGTTGAATAGAGTGACTAAGTTGGGCCACGCGGTCCGCAATGTTGGAAATTCGGATTTCAATGTTGCGCCACGCGGTTCGGCATCAAGACACTTTGGAGCTGACGGCCACGTAACATGCGACCGTCTTGCACGACTCCATGCGACAAGGGGTTTCATGCCATATTGGTGTATGATTGGGACATTGAACCTGACAGGCTGAGTACGTGACCAGTTACCGTCACGAAACTTTACGCATTCTGACCCGCGCGCTAGTCGGTTGTACAAACTCCAGATCCTCACGACGTGACCAAACGATTTCGCGGCACAAGTTTCACAATTGCCCGCGAAGTCAGAACTGGACGTTTGGCAGGTTACACTGCGACGGGTTCTGGCAGATTCTATTGGGCGCGAAGCAAACCAAACCAGCTCTGCGTCAGACGACGCAGACGACCGTTCCGGCCAACCCTGCGACCCCAAAAGTCAAGAGTGGGGGCTTGCCCCACACATACACCATCCCGGGCCCCAATAGGTTGGGATGGGGCCACTTCGGATGGTGTCCGTGCTTTGGAATACGATCTAAGTTTGAGCTCAAATTTGAGCTCAAACATGTCCCGCAACGTAAATTGTAGCCCGCCGGGACAGTCGCGTCGAACACATTCGTGTTCGTTTTTTTCCCCGAAACGAACAAAAACGCGTTCGTGTTAGACGCGGCTCGGCAGCAGTAGCGGGGCGAACACCGAGCGTGTTCGGGCGAACACCGAACGTGTTCGGGCGAACACCGAACACGTTCGCCCCGAACATTGTTAGCAAAAAAAAAACCTGTTCGGTTCGTCTCGAACGTGTTCGGTGTTCGCCCCGGAACTGCACGAACCTATTTCAGGGAATCATCGGGCCTCTCGGCTCGCGGGGATGGCTGTTTGAAATTGAGAGGGTGTGTGCAGCGAACGGAGGGTCGGATCGGATATCGATGGCCCAGATTCCCCTATTTCTGACACAGTTTCAGAGGCGCCGCGGTGGTCCCTCCCGAAAAGCAAATAACTGCGCCTCGGTGGTGGAAACGCCCCTGGAAGTGCAGGGCGGGAGGACAAAATGGCGGCAAACTTCTGAGGAAAATATACTCAAGTCAGAGCGATCCGTTACAAAAGAGTTTTAAATAAAGAAACTCTTGACTTTGACATTGCTCATACCAACTTACACCTAACCACCACTATTTTCAAGGAGAAACCCAACCCACTAATCTCGCGTTTCAAAGTTACCCTGCACGTTTTCGACAATTTCAGTTCGACACTTAGATGAATGGGGCTATGAATGACACCTAATGCTCGAAGTTTAAACTCATTATGCGAATATGAATCCATAGCGCCACTTCTACAGTACTCTCTTCGGGGATCGTGAAAATAGACCGGAAAAAAAAATAGCGGTGGTTAGGTGTACTAGCAATTTCACACACCAAGCAGTATATTTCTTTTTTTTTTATTACAAGAGTTTTGGGCATATGTGCAGAATAGATATTGATTATATATAACACAATATGCATTTGCATTCGAAGGTTGAGAGAATAAGCGAACAGGAATGGATGAACTAGCAGTGAAATGAGTACAAGTAGGAAACCCTAGAATTGTGTACCCCCTATAGGCTAACCCACTGTAGCCTACACAAGCAGAACATATATGATGTTTGACACACCCCCATAGGCAAAGTGGGGGAGAACAAGGGGTCACAAGACCAGTCAAGCAAAGCAAAGCAAGCTCAGGGTGGATCACAAAGTCACCACACAGTCCGAGCGCAAGAGCAGGGCCAAAGGCCAGTTCACATGCAGGAGTACAGACATATATATAAAACTAGACAAGCAAGAGCAGGTATATATATATGTCACAGTACAAGTGAAGTCAAGAGGACAGCAAGTGAGGCAAGACAGGCACAAGACCCAGCTGGGTGCAAAAGCGCTGATGGTCACAAGGCGCGAGTGCCTTGGTGAACACATCAGCAGTGTTGGCCTCAGAGGCCACGTACGCAAGTCGCAACTGACCACGCTGCTGCAGCTTACGAGCAAGGAAGTAGCGGAGAGCAATGTGCTTCGTTCTGTGCTCCAAGCGCTGCTCTCGACACAAGGCCAGCATGGCCTTGTTGTCTACGTACAGCACTGGAGGAGAACGAGGCGGCTCTCCAAGGTCAGTCAGCAGGTAGGTGAGCCAGCGAAGCTCCTGTGCAGCCATGGCCCCGGCGTAGATCTCAGCCTCGCAACTGGAGCCGAGAACCGAAGACGAGCGAGTAGACCGCCACGAGACAGAGCCGGAACCAAGGCTGAAGGTGTAACCCTGTGACGACCGCTGCGTAGCCTGGTCGTCAGCCCAAGAAGCGTCCGCGTGGCCGGTAAGGACCACTGGACTGCGCCCTCCAAGCACTAGCCCCATGCCCGACGTACTGCACAGGTAGCGCAATACCCTCTTCGCTGCAGCCATGTGCTCTGGTCTGTGTCTCCCAGGAGCAACATAGCGTGCAAGAATGCTCAGAGGGTATGCAAGGTCAGGTCGTGTGCAGGTCATCAGGTACATGAGGCAGCCAACAAGCTCTGCATACGGACCACTCGACTCTACGGACTCATCCGAAGGCAGAGCTGAGAGTGAGTGGCGAGTAGGCAGAGGAGTGGCCTGAG